TAATAAAAATTCTCAGCAAGCTATGAAAATGGAATTTAATCTGACAAAACTGCCTATTATAAAAAACATACAGAAAACATATTTAATAATAAAATACTGAAAACATTCCCCTGAAGGCTGGAAACAAAGCAAGAATGTCCATCTTCATCGCTTCTATTCCTCATTCTTCTGGAAGTACTAGCCAGTTCATAAAGTCAAGAGGGTAAAAACACAAAGGTTGTACAGGAAGAAGCTAATCTCTCTATTCACTGATGATGTAACTGTGTACAAGGAAAATTCTAAGAAATCTATAAAACTAATAGAATAAGTGCAAGGTCACAGGAAGTACAAAAATCAATTGTACTTCTGTATATAAGCAGCAAACAACTTTAAATAAAATTGAAACTTTCATTAACAGCAGCATCAAAATAACATATAATACTTATGAATAAGTTTGAACCAAAAAAGTGCTGGATCTCTGCAATGAAAGCTACAAAATATTGCTGAACAAAAGAAAACCTAAATACATGGTGAGAGACAGGGTTCACGGACTGGAAAACTCAATGTTATTAAGATAATTCTCTCCCTAATTGATCTATAGGTTTAACTCAATCCCAACTAAAATCACACCAAATATTTTTTTCAACACACTGACACCTTCTTCTAAAATCTATGTAGAAATGCAAGGACCTAGAATAGACAAACCAATTGTGAAAAAGAACAAAGTTGAAGGATTTATATTACCTGATTTCAAGACTTATTATAAAAAACTGTAATAATCAGGATGGTGTAGTAATGGAATAGGAAAAATAAATAGATCATTGGAACAAAATAGGCATGTGTATATGGCCAACTGATTTTTCACAAAGGCACCAAGACAACTTTACAACAAATGGTGCTAGAACAACTAAATATCAGTACAGAAAAAAGTGAACCTCAAGCCTCACCTCACACACCAACATGACTTCAGGATGAATCACAGATTTAAACACAAAGCTAAAACTATAAAGCTTCTAGAAAAAGACATAGGAGTATCTTTGTGCTCCTGAGGTAGGCAAAGCTTCTTAGAAACCAAAAAATACTAAACATTAAAAAAAAAACCCTTTGGTATATTAGCAAAATTTAAAACTTCTGCATATCAGAAGACAAGCCACAGACTAAGAGAAACATTTATAATACATATACTGACAGAAGACTTGCAGTCAGGATACGTTGAGATTGCCTACAAATCAAGAACAAAAAGCCCAATCTTTAAAAATGTGCAAAAGAAATGAACACTCACACCACAAAATTATACAAAACAAGCTCATGAAAAGGTGATCAACATTAGTCCTCAGGAAATGTAAATTAAAACCATAATGAGATAGCATTTCACACCTACTTGGGTCGTTAAAATTAAGAAGACTGACAATACTAAAGGTTGGCAGGTGTGTGGAGCAACCACAACTCTCACATGCTGCTAAGTGAATGTAAAATGGTACAACCACCACTCTGGAAAGTTGTTGGGCAGTATTATCAAGTTAAACATATACTTGCCATATCAGCCAGCAATTCCACTCCTGGATATGTACCCAAAAGAATGACAACTGATGTCCATACACACTTTTACACAAAAGTTCATAGTAGCTTCATTCATAATACCCCAAAACGTTTTGAAAACTACCCCGATGTCCATCAACAGGACAATGTGGTATATTCACATAATTCACATAATGAAACATTACTCAGTATTTTTTAAAGGAATTTAACAGCACGTGCATCAACATGGCTGAATCTCAAAAATATTGTTAAGCAAAAGCCAGATAAAAATGAGTACATAGGGACTTCCCTGGTGGCGCAGTAGTTAAGAATCCGCCTGCCAATGCAGGGGACACGGGTTCCATCCCTGGTCCGGGAAGATCCCACATGCCACAGAGCAACTAAGCCTGTGCGCCACAGCTACTGAGCCTGCGCTCTAGAGCCCATGAGCCACAATTACCGAGCCCGTGTGCCACAACTACTGAAGCCCACGCGCCTAGAGCCCATGCTCCGCAACAAGAGAAGCCACCGCAATGAGAAGCCCGTGCACCACAACGAAGAGCAGTCCCCGCTCACCGCAACTAGAGAAAGCCTGCGCACAGCAACAAAGACCCAACACAGCCAAAAATAAATAAATAATTTTTTTTAAGTAAGCACATATTATTCCTTTTATACAATAAAACTTCAAAAACAGGCAGAAGTGTTCTATGATGACAGGAATCACAAATGTAGTTGTTACAGTGCAAGGGTGGTGGTGACTATGAGGGGATACAAGGGAACTTCTGGAGTAAGGAAAATGTTCTACCTCTAGATTGGAGTTTGGGTTACAAAGGTCTATATATATATGTCCAACTCATTTTTTTTAACCACAGATCTGTGGTTTCACTGTATATAAATTTTACTTCAATAAAAACAAAAGGCACCTCACCACTCACAGACAAATCTTGTCTCATTATTCACAACCACAACCATATCAGAAACTACCGTTCAAGACGAGGTTCAGGATCAGTGAGGTTTTAGCACAAAGATTAAACATGGGCTCTCACCGTGCAAATCCTTGTGGCAGTTCTCCAAGGCCGTAGAGTGGATAAAGGTATGGGCTTTTGCCATATCTTGCCAAAGACTCACTGTAAAGTTTAATCCTATTAATGGTTTCACAACATGGTTGATCTAAATAGCTAGACAAAAGGAAATGACCATTCGAAAAGGGCTTTGGTTTGCATGCTTATATTCAATTTAAAATCTTTTTCTGAATGGATTTTAATTCAACATCTCCATATTTTATTTAAAAGGCTCTAACTCTAATGTGCAGTTAGAACTTCTTCTTTAGTAGTATAATAGAGCTATATATTTGTTTTGTTAGAATTTCCACTCTGCAGAATTGGGAAATTCAGTGAAGAATTCCAAGAAAAATGTAAATCTAAAAACCAAAAAACTTACTCATCAGTTCTGTAAAGTGCCAGGGCATGACCAGTAAAATCTATAACATCTTGGCCCAGGTCAAATTTCTTATACACCTCTCGCATTGCCGTCTTCTTAGGATCAATGCCCTCAAAAGTTCTAGGATCACTCTCATCAAAGTTGGCAACATACACCAGGAATTTTCTGAATCGACGTTTTTCAAACAGCCCCATTAGGCCTAAAAAATAATTTTTCAAAAAGCACACACTCACAATAGGACACTGAGGAAAAGAAAATGTGAAAATAAAGTTTAAATATTTTATGTTATCTGAGGCTCTTCTAAGGCAATGTGCAATTTAAAATATGGGAGTTTGGACATTGCTTTAAAATAAACTGACAGTTTCATAACACTTTAAAATAAACTGTCATAATTACAATAGATCAGCTATTAAGCCTTCAATTTTACACTACAATTACAAGTAATTATAACCAGTAATTAATTAAATGCAATATGTATAATTATACCTCGTATTAGGTACAAGATAAATCAGACTTTGAAAAACTATTATTCATGAAGGCATCTATCTGAATGTTTTTTTGACAACTCTGATCTGTACTCCAGCAACTGCCTAAAATTCTCAATGCACTTCATTCTTTTTTTTTCCATATGCTAAGATACACTCTGGTATTTAATGGAAAAGCAGCTTAGATACCAAGAACAATCTCTGACCTCAAAGAAATTTAGATGCTGATTATGCTGCCAGTCACTTTAATGAAGTCCTAGATAAGCAGTTCACTGCTTTTTACACTAAAAAGTAGATCAGGAGAAAGCTATGAACTACCACCTAAGAAACCCTCAGTGCTTCCTACTACTCAGGATCCCTACTACCGTAGATAGCTGGCAGAAAGACAAGGTCAAAGGAAAAGAAAAATTTCTGGTTGCATCTCCTTCTTCCCCTTTCTTAAACCATACGGCTACTTTAAAAACAACTATAGCTTTAAAAATAAATGCTTAACCATTCCTTTTATATCTGTTGACAGCTGAATATTTTGATAATTTAAACATTATTTCCCCCAAGACTATAGCTGAAATCAACAAAACTGAAAATTAAAATGATCACGAGGCTATTCATGACAGCTGACTACATTTAACTTTTTAAATTAATATTTACAACCTAGCTTTAAAAAAATGGACAGACTGCATACACAGTAAAAGCATAAGGCTAAAAAGGAATATTCTATTACCACACAGCCCCCTACTTAAGACACAAGTGTAGTTTCAGGGGAAGGTGTAAAACAGCCAAAGGAAACACGAGTCACCACTGCAACGCACTTACAACTTGGGGGTCAATCTGGTGGACACTGCCTGTTGGAACCTAAAGCTCTTACCAACAGTTTATTGTTGAGTTATCACATAACTTCTCTTAAAATAAAAATGAAAATGTGTATTCTTAAATTCCCCACTCTTTCCCTCTTTTCATCTCCCTCCCTCCTCCAAGCCTTGAGCCTGACAGGGACACTCTCCCAGCACAGTGGACTCCTGTCTCCCAGCACAGAGGAGATGCTCTAAGCTGCTCCTCCATCCCTTTATGTCGGAACCAGATACCAGTGCAATTACCAACATGTGAGAGACCCGGTGCTCATTCTGAAAAAGTCCTAATGTAACGAATTCAAACATTATTTCCTACCACGTAATTTTTATAACAGCTACTTCTATATGACGATGCCTTCCCTGGTCACCCTATTTAAACTAGTAGCCCCACCCTCACTCCCTCCTTTCATCTCCATATCCATCTGATACGTTTTTATATCAGATTATATCACCATCTGAAATGCTTCTCCTTATTTATCTATAGCCAGTCTCCCACTAATGGAAGCTCCAAAAGGGAAAGCATTTTTGTTTACTTTTTTCCTTCTGTTGCACCCTCCCTACCCCCAAACCTAGAAGGGTACCTGGCATATAGCAAGTGCTCAATAAATATTCAATCCATTAATTAACATCTGATGGGACTGAATATAAAAGAAGTTGACTTATTCATATACTGGACATACAATATATAAATAAAATACTCAAATTATATGATAAAAGGACTAGAAAAAATCTTTTTCACAATTAGTCGAGGTGTACCTTCACTCATTTCAAATGGTTTTACCTTTCCTTCATTCACTTGCACACTGAGGGTTATTTACCAAAAAAGACACTTATGTCAAGACTTTTAAAACAGAATAAAGCTACAAAATCCAGAGCAGTTTCAATAAGAGAACAGAAAAAAGCGTTCCAATTAACTAACAGGCATAAGATTTGACAAGTGAATTAAAAAATAGAAAAGTCAGAGTAGAATTAACGTCACAAGAAAAGCACTAAAACATGGCACACAACATGTCATTCCAACAGTGGACCTAAACAGCCTCACCCCAGTTCACAGCTGGGCTTTGCAGCAGGCACACCAACTCCTGATAGCCACAAGCCCTGAGATGTCAAAGGTGCTCCCGACAAACAGATGCCTCACCGCGGTAAGAGTGAGAACAAACAAGCAAGCTAAAGATTCAACCGAGGATACAAGATTTTGCTGGGCACGTTTCAAAGGTATTCATGAAAATGTCTCCAACTTCTCTGAACATAGTATCTGTGTTCAACATTACTCTAGAGGCCAAATATACTTCTCATTTATTTGACTAAAATAACATGTGACCAGTGAACAAATATTTATTGGAACCTTGAGGTTTTAGCTGGCATCATGACCTACCACAAGAACCAACAGTATATACAGCTCCTAAAAAAGCCAATGTAAACTTAGGCTACATTAATAGAAATATATTGTCCTAGGAAAGTAAAAGTCCCAAGGACACTGAGTGGGCAGACAACACTTGGAGTATCAGGTCTGGTCTGGCTCTAATTCTATTATATAAGATAATCTTGGCAAATCAGAGAATTTCCAAAGAAAAGTGGCCAAGGGACCTAGACGGCATATTATATGAGAAACAACCACAGGAACTGGAAATATGTAGCATGGAGAAAAAAGGAATTCCAGTGTACGTGACAGTTGTTAAAATATCTGAGAAGCTACATTTATATACTAGATAGTTCAGCGGTTAAGAGTGTGGGGTTCTTGAGTCTGACAAATCTGGCTTCAAACTAGTTTTACTAGTCATGAACTATGCTACTTTGGGCTCTTTCACACCTGTATACCTCGGTGTTCCCATCTGTCAATATAGATAATAGCACCACGTCTCAGGGGGTTGTAGTGAAGGACTATATAAAATAAACTTCGACTATACACATAAAATAATTAGTATATAAATGCCTGCACATAATGTTAAAAAATGTTAGCTATTATTAAAAGCATAAAATAATTTCTTTTTATTTATCTTTCTCTTGAACTTCCCACCCTCTATACTTTTCCTACCCCATTCATTCATTCTGCCTAGAATTGTCTTGCCTGCCATTCCAACTTCAAAATCCTATCCATTAATATAAAAATAGTTGCTGATAAGGTAGTGATTGGTAAAAATTCATGAAACTGTATATTAAAATAGGTAAATCCTAGTGTATGTAAATTAAACCTCAATAAATCTAACCTTAAGAAATACATACATTAATATATTTGCTTATTTTTGCAAAAAGAAACATAAGGAGGGTAAATCAGAAATAAGTAAAAATGACCACCTATCAGGGTGGAAAGAATGGAGTGGCAAA